AAGGGTCGGCTATCCGGTGTGCCTCTGAACTGCTGTGTTTCTCCGATTGCTTCCTGTTGATCTCTTCACAAAGCCCCTGAGGCAGAAGCTCCAGGTGAGTTATCATAAGGTTCTTGGGTACATTAACAGTATTGCATTATAGCATATTGCATAGCCGAAAAATGAAAGTGTCAGGAAGTCAAGTTGCCAAGATGATGGAAACTAACCCAAAGAGAAAGAGCCCCCCCGTCCTCAAGATCCGGGTTGAGAATGCAACACAGCTCCTGGAAGTTCTGAACCTTAGTCCGGCCATCTGATGGGAAACCATTTCATAATTGATTTGCCATGATTATGAATCTTGGATTCAAAAGCAATTGGTTCAAATCTTACTTGTGGTGTTCAAAATTTTGAGATGAGGAACTGTGGAAACCAATTGCTTGCCGGCTTTGTTCTTGACAAGTGTCAGCAACTTTCTGATATACCAGCTATCAGTAATCACCTCCGATGCTACTGGTGTCCTTGAAGTCTTCTGGTAGAGCAAAGCAATCTGTTCCCTCAAAGGTCGAACTGGCGGCTGCGGCACACCCTCTATTCCACTAGATCGAAATAGGATTGCCTTCAAGATATCAGAGACATACTGGCATGACGCTCCCTTCACAGTGACTTTGAAATTCTCATGAAACAAGGGCTCTTTCGGGTTGTCTCTCAAGTAGTCTCTAACAGCTGTGGAATCATCCCACTCCTTTGCTAGACCAGCCGTGGGCACCCTGGGCTTCTTGGCCTCCCTTTGAGTCACCATGGCTTCAAATTGCCGGTGAACTTCGAGATAAAATTGCTTCGGACAAGAATCAAAGCTGATGTTCATCAAAGAGCTTGATAGATACTACCACCATTTCAGGGCACAACCAAAACTTGTAGTCCACGAGAGAATCAATCAGAAACTTCCCACGCGCAGGATGGCGCCTGATCTTTGGTGTGGAGAAGAAAAAAGGGCCATGGCTCGAGATCTTGGGTGTAAAATGGTGTAGGTTGTATAAATGTTTTGTATAATCTACTGTGCATAGGGTTGCCCTTTGGCTCTAAAGATGTCCTAGCTTACTTAAACCAATATTCAGCTGATCATGACAGCTAAGGCTTTTGTGCCAACAATTTCAAAACTGATATATACTTACCACCATTTCATTAATTAATAATCTCCTTAAGTGCCACCAAACCCCGGTGGGCTTGATCCACAGCATCGGTTGATGCCGTTCAGCGTTCAGACCTGAAGGCGTTTGAGATGATATTGATATGATATGAAACATATGTATTATATATGTGATGTGGATTGAAATGCCACATGTTGTGGTATGAAATATGATGTTGTATGAAATGCCATATGGTATGAAATGCCATGATGTGGTGTGAAATGCTTTGATACGGTATGAATATGAAATGCCAAGATGTGGTATGAAATGCCATGATATGGCATGAAATGCTATGAAATGCCATGATACGGCATGAAATGCTAAGAAATGCCATGATTGGGTATGAAATGCCAAGGTGGGACATGAAATGCCATGAAGTGATATGATCATGCAATGATGTGTTGTGAATTATTATAAAGGGGTATGAAATACCATGACATGTTGTGACAATGCAATGATATGGTATAAAATGATAGTTCATGATATATCATGAAATAACCATTTGGTGAAATATAGGTTTTATGTAAAAACCAGGTTTTTCACATGAGGGTCAATGAAAGCCAGGTTCTTGAGTTGCGACCTGCTTTTTTATAGGTTCTTGGCTGTGATGGTATATATATAAACCAGTTGATAGTTTGGTCACAGTTCTCAATCCCTCTTGTCTACCAATCCTCCAACCAACTACCAACGCGTTTTTTTCAACAGAAAAGTGGCCAAGAGGATGTCATCGTGCTCGACACGGGGCGCCCAGCTGTGATAGAGATCGACGAATGTGGCGCCTTGGGTGAAGTCTTTTTGGCCCGTTCAGGAGCGAAAGAGATGGTTTGCCTAGTTTGCAGTATTAAAAGAAAATGGAGAGATTGGTCTCAAGTTTTGAGCAAAAAAACCTTTAAAAAACTCGGTGATTCTTTGAACACGCAGTTTAAAGTGCATGGAACATCATCAGCATGCACACACATGATTAAAACCAATGAACAACTATAAGTAAACGTACAAGAAAGGACGGCAATGAATTTGTGTCACAGCATGTTAATTACACACATGTACGACAGCACCTGGATGGGCATTTGCACAGGCCTCTGCCCTTGTGAGGCCCTAAATAGCAGAAATAGCATATGGGTGAAGAACACACACGTTGACCCACGCACCATTTGAAGGGCATTCAGAATGACGCAGTATACAGCCACAGCCCTTCGTACAATTCCAAATGTCTATCGCTGCTTCTCCCGTATCACCAGTGGCCCAGGCAGCATTGAAACGACATGTCTTTTCCCGTGTGGTTGGAACTTGGACGCCTTTTTCTGCGGGACCACGGCGGTTGATGGAAACGAGATCCAGGTGAGCCATTCTTTCTATCGTTGGCTGTCCATTTGTACATCATACAACATGTCCCTTGAGCGGAAATAGTGACAAACTCTTTGGTTCAGTCTTGGCGGGATGTTAGATTTAATATGTTTTAATGTTAGTTCATTGGCTTTGTACCACCTAGGCCCAGTTTCAGTATTGAATACTTTGCATGGTGGCTGAGAAGCCCACCCCCATTAGCCAACCATTGTGCAGGTCACCCGACACAAGAAGCCAACCAAAAAGTTGCGCTTCTGAACGTGGTAGATCGTTGGAGTTTGGTGTAGGACCTAGGAGTCACAGAGGCTGATTTGATGAATGACCTTTACATCTAGACACGAACACACTTTTTCTAATATATTCATTCCATAATGCTTCCAGAAAACAACTTGGCATTCACATGCATTTGTTTGACCTGTATTTGGGCGAAAAAGTTAAAACGTATATCTGTCTGTCTGTGGCAAAATTTCAACATCCTGCACCTTTCCTGCTATCCTGTGCCCAGCACCGGACACCCTCCGTGCGGCCGGATGCAGAAGCGAGTTGAGCATCGCCAGGCGGCACGGCAAAGAACAGAGGCAGACATAGGATGACATCCGCAGATTATCACACAGAAGGAATACTCAATGTTCAAAGGATTTCAAAGGTTTTCCTTTCGGGGTATGCTATGGTTTGTTTCCTCTTTCAACACCCAGCAAATATCCAAGTTTGGCACACCGAGTATGATGTGACGTTCAATCCAAGAGCTTTTGGTGAAACCTCAGAAGATCAAGCAGGTTGTGCCCCGTATGTAGCGTTTTAAGTAGTAGTTTAGTTCAATTTTATGGCATAGAATGGTATAGATTCATATCTATATACAGAGTTAATGGGGTAGCGATGAGAGAGAGAGAGAGAGTTTATGGAGTTTGTAAAGCAACTTATATCTGTGGGTCACCACCGTTGCAGGTATACAACAAAATAGTGTGGCCTATAGGGTAGCCGAAATGAAACCCCTGAAATCCAAAGTCCATGGTTATTTTTCAAATGTAACGTTTTATCATTATCCTTATCCTTGTCCAGAAGGTACACCAAATCATAAAACTCAAATTGAGAAGGAACTGGGGATAGCTTCACGGTGGATTTACCATGTTGATCGCCGATGCTGAAACTCTGGCCGAAACTTCAAATTTCCATCAAGAAGTACATTTGTATCTGTGGTATCGGGTTTTGGTTCTGGAGTTGACTTCAGCACTTTTCTATGCTTTTCAGCCCAGGTGTAAAACAAATTCTATTGTTTGGGCATATCCCCCCCAGGAACCTGCAAAGCCCATTGGTTTCTTGCATTGTTTTCCCTACCAATGATAATGCCAATGACAATGGATATCAACAAAAACCAAGTTGGGATGGTTTATTTATACCCTTGACATTTTTTTAAACACATTTTGGCATATTTTGGTTCGAACGTGGGTTGATTCACAGCTGGAAAGCTTGGCGGCCCTCGGGCGCCTGGTACGAAGTGACGACGGCAGTCTCCAGTCCGTGCGGCATGACCAAGCTCCCCGAAGCCAAATGATGGAAACGACCATAGTACCTCTACTGGCTTGTGGTTTCAAACATGTTCATTGTTCTGATGTAGGATAATCCCATTTGATTAAAATTTTCGATGGCTTGAAACCACCAACCAGCGTAGCTCTTGGTATGTCTCAAAAGCTTTCAAAATAGTTGCATGCTGCAAAATGTGGATGTTTGTGTGTTTGAGTATGATTGAGTGAATGTGGGTCAAAACAATTTTAACACTTAACACCAATAAATCCACTGGCCATGAAGATGCAGAACTTTACGCATGGGACCACATCCTGCATGGTGCGCATCATTTTGATGCATTTTTTTTGGAGGTGTGCAGTTTTGACCCACATTCCGCCTGACATACTGTAATATCTGTACTCAGACCAGCTTTGCCACTTTGCAATATCCTTCCATTTTTACGGTCCTTGCCCGATTTTTGAGACATATCGCAGCCCCTTTGAACCCTGTGAAATCGAAAGACACAGCGACCCGTTGGCGTCCCTGCTGTGAAGTTTGGCGCATGGCTCTGTCAACATGATGGGGCGCGCCAGCGACGCTGGGAGCATCAGCGCGGAACATCAACTCGCAAAACTAAGCAACCTGGTGAGTTTTTTGAGGCAATGTATGGCAATGTAGATTTATAGAATTTGATAGGCTTTAAGAATCTTTAAGACTAAGCCCCTTGCATTTGTTTCCCATTTTGAGACACGAAACTTCCACACTGCTAGAAGGTTTTCGGTCACAAGGATTAGTTGATTATTCTTGTCCTCATTCCATCATCACTGGCGAGACTGTTCAACAAGGTGCCATTCTGAAAACAATTCATAGGACTTCTTAGGTCACCCGATATCACCAGCAGTTGAATCTGTCATGTGACTGATCCAGTGCTCGAGTCGAAGTGTAGCACACGTGACGCGCTTCTTCGTGGATCTTTGCCGTTCAGCCATGTTGTCTGCGCTCGTCCAGCAGATCTGCAGCTTCAACCTATTTCCAGAGATTCAGGTGGCAGGGGATATCAGGGATGCACGTTTTGGAGGATGTCTTGAAGGTTTGAAATTCTATAGGTGACATGTCGTGATTTTTTGTCTATGTTGATTACCCGTCAGTAATTTAACAATATGGAAAGCCCACCCTTTGTAGATCATGTTCATTTGGTCTTCCCATAAATTTTCCATCTCCAATGAGCTGGTCGTTTTGGAATCCAGGATTGGAAACTCTGTTTTGTTTCAACAGACATCATGGATTTGGAACTGCTACAGCCTGTTCACTCATGGTCAATCCGTTGTGCTTCGCTATGGGTCAACGATTAAGATCCATGCGACCAATTGTTCTACGAGTTCTTGCATACGAAGTCATATGGTAGCCATACAGGCAGTTTGATGTTCGGATTTTTTTTTGCCCGTGCTCATGTGACTGATTGTGACTGTGTCTCAGAGTAAGGCTGTAAGGGATGCTTCTTATCAGTATTATTCAACTATTAATCAATTTAGGTAATTCTTCAGGACATGTAAATGTCGAATAATACTTATTGAAATGATGGTGGTTGCCTATTAATATTACCCATTGATCACCTATTGATTACCTTAATAGTCTATCCAACTATCCTTCCGGAATGCAAATGTTCCAGTCTCTCAGACCGATTGTTGGTTCAGCCACCTCCCCTTTTTCTGGCTGAAAAGCTTCATATCTTCCATAGAACAGGTTGATCAATCCCTATCAATGATTGCACAGCATCAAGGCTAAAGACTGGGGGTCCCTACTAACATGATCTATGATTCTCTATCTTGATACCCTCTGGTAATTTAACAGTTTGCTATTGAAAATGGCTATTTATAGTGGATTTTCCCATTAAAAATGGTGATTTTCCTAAGTTATGTTAGTTTACCAGAGGGTATCTGTTAAATAGATGGAGATGTTCCATTGCCATGTTTCATTACCGGATGGGACGACCATTTGTTCTCTATGTATTCCTCATGTGGCTGGAATCGGCTAGAACCTCCATGGGTTCGGTGGGTTAAATCATCAACTTTGCAGCGTTATTTGACCAGAATTGGTTTGGGGAAAAAAATGCAGGAAATTCTAACATTTGGATAGTTCACATAGATAGTTCCCCTACATCAATCCATTGACTAACGAAGTCTCCAAATTGTAGATAAATAACAATTTTTATCAAGGTTTCATACCAAAATCATGTTAAGCCCGAATTTTCATGGGAAACCGGAAAACCACCCATTTTTCATGGACTTCCTGTTTGAAACCTCATAATGACAACTAAGGCTGGCTGGACAACTGGAGCTGTTTGAAGCACAGTTTGAAGCGGCTGGAACCAGCAGGGCCAGCAGGGCCAGCAGGGCTAGCAGGCGCGCATCTGTGACCTCTGAACTCCTTTGGGTGCAGGATGACGATCTCATATGATTTGAAACATAGTGTTACCCTCTGGTTATTTAACATAGCCATGGTATAGATGGCCCATAGAAATAGATGATTTTCCCAGCTATAAACATCCATCTATGAGGGATTTTCCATGGCGAACTGTTACATAACCAGATGGTATAGGGTGTTGAAGGGGGTGGATGAAAGGGCGGGGTTGAACGGGTGAACATATATCTTCCTATATAGTGTATTGTAAAGGGTTAGATCCAACCCCAAGCTTTTGTAAAGCTCCTTAGCAGTGCTAACATTAAGGGCCTGTAGGGCATACCAAAGGGTTTGGAGTTGTTCCTAGCACTCCTGGTTTATACATTTTTTGTCAGTAACCGACAATGACAATGGACAATATATGGACAATAAACGGGATATGAAAATTGAAACCGGCATTCACTCAGTGAATTGGCTCTTCCCCCCAGCCACTAACAGTTGTAAAACAATCATCACAATATTTGTAGGGAGCCTTATTAAATATCACATATATAGAGTATCATAATCCACTGTTAGTGGGTGGGGGCAGGGTCCAATGTGTTTGTGCTGCCGGAATGGCTGCAGTACGCATGTACAACTTTGGGACCCTCCGCCAATTCTGCCGGTCAGCCCTCACATTTGGCTCAGCCCGTGCCTCAGCTCTCATCTTTCATCAGCTCTTACCGGAAATGCTGCGCATTCTGACCCTTCTGACCCTTGCCACCTGCGGTGCCTGCGGTGCCGAGTGTGGCGAGGAGTGTGTCAATGATGTCAATGTGGCAAGCGGATCAAGCGCCGCAAGCCGCAGTCAATCCCTTCTCCAGGTTGCAAAGACCCAGACACTCGGCAGAGCTCGGCAGTGGCGCGGCCCCCATGTTTACAGCATAGCCATACCATCCCATACCATCCCATACCCAAATTAAGCTACGGCTTGCTACTTCAATCCCGGATAGCCCCTGGACTTCCTACTACAAAGCCCTGCAGGAGATCGCACTGATAGCAATGCGAAAAGCTCATCCAAATCACCCAATGTGGGTACAAATTCTAAGGGTGAAACCTCACCCTTCTTCATCCTATGTGGGATGATTCAGTTGGTTGATTACTATTTTTTGGGAAAGGTTTAACGGTTAAACGGTTAAACCACCAGTCAGTATACCAGAAGGCCATCCTTCGCCTTCTGGTTGGTGCAGTTGTTTTCATGTTTGTCCAGACTTCAATTGCTGTTACCGTACAAACATCAGAGTTTACCACGAAAAATGCAATATGCGAGAATTGAGGACGAAAAAGAGGCTGATGAAGCATGAACTTGAGTGAGCATGAAGTGTTACAGAAATTGTGTGAACCTGTCCAGTAGGATGTACCACTTGTTTCTTTTCAACGCTTTTGCAATTGTTGTTGGCTATAGCCGCTAGCAAAGGAACGAACTCATTCCGGTATATAGAGTATTTTGGTAAACCAAATGTTTTTTTTAAACAGCGCAGTATGCATTCAATACGCATCACATTATATAGTTTGTTGACAACCTATATACCATTGTTTTTTGGCAGTTTCTTGGTCTATTGTTGGGCTTAACACATTCCGAAATAATGAATCATCGTTCTTTTACCAGGAGAGGACAAAAGATCTCAACATGTACAAAGCGTTCTAAATTTTGTCCACATAGATTTGCTGGCTGAACTTCTCTAGGTTTACAGTGGCGGTTGTTTCCGGTCGTCGCTGTTCTAATGTCACGAAGCTGGCTGAGGACCGGAGGCTACGAGATCGGCGGCGACAATACGCAAAGCTGCAGCTATCAGCGTGAGCGCCTTCCAACGCCAGCTGAGTGCATGGAAGCCGCAGGAGCTTTGGGTAAGAACTATGGCTTCACGGGTTCCTATGCCGGCTGGCCTAGAGATTGCTTCATGTACCGCGATGTTTCTTGGCGATTTGGGGCTGGAACAGGTTGGTACCCTCACTGGGATCGTCTGGGTTTATGTTGCTATGAACTGGATAGATATAGGCAAAATGGAAATAAAGGGAACGTTTATAGATTTTTAGATTAAAATAGATTCAATACGATTCAGCTATTTGATTTGCAGCTTTCATTTGCTTTCAGGTCATCTACTTCAACGAAGACCAAGTGACATGCTCTGGACGGGACAGCGCCCGCCTGATCTGCAAGCGTGTGGAAACTACAACAACCACGACGGAGAGCTTGCCTAACGTGTTGAGCTACGAGATTGGCGCACCGGGCTTCGACTGCGCAGTAGGCCATGTGGTTTCCACACATGTCGAGTGTGCAAGCAGCGAACTTCTCACCGCAGTGGGGCTCAGTTTTTCTAACTGGGTCTCAACGCATAACTTACAGTTTCTTGCGACTGCCGAAGATGACGTTTTCCATTGCAAAATCCATAGCTAAATTTGTCCGAGCATGGGGGGATATCCAAAACCCTTATTTGTTCAACCAATAGATTTTGGGTTAACTCATTTTAGTGGCAAACATGGACATGACGTTTCGATGAACCTAGCGCAATTTCATGATTATTTTGCGCTCGAAAGCCAACGTCCAAGGTTTGGCTGCTTGTATTCATCAAGTCTTCATTCCCTGTTCTTCAATTACTATGAGGGTGGATCGGTTGACTACAACTACATGCCGGTCTGCAAGACTGAAGCTTGGGGAAGAGCCATACAGCAGAAGTTTATCATAGTTTATCCCTTTTTCCAATTGTGGTGGGTTTACAAAAGTTGCTTGCGGTGTTTGACAGTCCCACATAGTCCCACAAAAAATGAGCCACGCTAAACGCCACGCCACATCATCAAGATACATCAAGATACATCTTAAGTTCTTGGCGGATTTTTCCATGGATCAACGATCCAGGAAAGCAGCCCGGTGATCCGAAACTTCAACATTGGAGTCTTTGACACCAATAGCTGTGCCGCTGGAAATCCCATCCAAGATGTGGAACTTTGCCGGGAGGCTGCCGCCTTCTTCGGTGAGGTTGCTTGGCAGAGCCAGAGAGTTGCGGGCTTGCTACGATTATCCAATGCATGATGAATGATCAGATTGATGATTATTATTAACATTTGTTTCCTGCTATACTACTATATATATATACTTAATGGCAGTACCTAGGTGAAGGTATAATCCATTATTTATGGTTCAGGAGGGTTTATGATGGTTCGTGCTCATTGGCTACAACTGGATTACGCAGCAAGGGACCAATAGTGGAGTACCAGTAGTACCGCACAAGGCGGTGGCGAAAGTTTCAAAGATAAGAAACCTATAGGAGAGTTTGGTTGTTGTGAATCATGGATGGCAGAGCGAACCTGCTGATGGATCGAAAGGTGGTTGGAGTGTCGGGCTATCTATCTTTCTTTTTATTTATCTATTTGTGTATCTACATGTCTTTCTATTTGTCTTTCTATCTATCTCTTTCCATCCGTCTATCTTTCTGTCTGTCTATCTCTATCTATCTATCTGTCTATCTATCTGTCTATCGATCTGTTTGTCTATCTCTCTATCTGTATTTCTGTTTACCTATCTGTCTATCTATTTGTCTTTCTATCTTTATATGTCTATCTGCTAGACTCCCATGAAATTTGGAACTTGGAAGCTGAAAACCGAAGCTTTTCTGTGAGACTTCCTTTAAATTTGGAAGGTGACGACATCAAAAACTCAGCAAGGCGACTTCCTCCAAAAATCGAAGTCGCCACAACATCAAGAACGAAGCAATTCTGCGAATTCTGCGAGATTTCCTTCAAGAATGGGCCGTTGATTGCTGAGCTGACAGCCTTGTACCAATGCGTTTTGCGATTTTTCCATCCCATGTCTCTAATAGTACTGCACCTGCCACGAAAAAGTCAGGCCAGGTCATACGAAGGGCTGCGCCTGTCAGGCAAAATCACCTTGGGAAACCTGAAGATCTATCAGGAAATCAACGCCCTGACCTCCGAAAATCTCTGATGAACATGTTTCTTGCACTGCGCCTGCCACGGGAAATGCATCTTTGATCGTCCCATGCCTCCCATGGCGCTGAAACTGCTACAAAACCTTCCCTCACGTTTTTGCATGTTTTTGCTTACCTTTGGCAAAGTGCAGAATCCATTGCGCCTGCCACGCAAAATAACGGTTGAACGTCCAAAAGTGGACGAAAAAGCTGATTTCGAAATGTGCTTCACGCCGCAACTGCGTGCACCCATTCCACATCTCAACTTCCAAAAGTGCTCCGACTGTGGCGTGCTTTACACATTTTGACTTCGCAATGTGCTTCGCGCCACAACGGCGTGCACTTTTTCAACATCTCACTTTCCAAAGTTGTTTTTTTTTTGGGCGTAGTTTGACATGTTTGACTGTTTCGCGCTGCTTTTTCCACATCTCAACTTGTAAAAGTGCTCCGAACGTGGTGTGTTTTGCAGATTTTGACTTCGCAACGCGCTTCGCACCACAATGCCGTGCACTTTTTCGACATGTCAACTTCCAAAAGTGCTCCGACAATGCGGGTGCTTTCAGCATTTTGACTTCCAAATCTGCTTCGCGCCACAGCCGCATGCAATTGTTAATCTCTCATCTCTCATTTGACGAGATGACTTCGCACCCGCCGCTTTAGCGAGCCTACTTTTCGACCCTCCAGAGCCAGGCAAACATTGGAAAAAACACGGTGTTTTGCGATGTTTTGCGACTTTTTTTTCCTTTCCGCGCACCTGGATCTTCTTTCTTCTGACGCTGTCTCCTCTCTCATCTTCTTTCTTCTTCCTTTCTCTTCTCTGACTCTTCCCACCTTTGCTTGTCAATGTGCCCTTATTGCCGGAAGTTTGACTTCAATGATTGCTGAACAATGGAAGAATATGGCTATGGGTCAAATGCTCAAGCCATTTCGGTGCCTGTGCCACCCACAAAGCACAACACCATTGTTAGTAGCAATTAAGCCATCCAATTTTGCGGGTTAGTACTTGCGACGCACACCTTGAATATAATACTTGGATGTATTTACCCTAGTCCTCAAAGCCTCTCGAAATTCAGGCCTTTCATGAGGACCTCCCATGTGAGCAAACGACCTGAAAGGACTTGAAAGGACCTGAAAGGACCTGAAAGGACCTGAAAGGACCCGAAAGGACTCATGGGTTTTCTGCAGGATGCTGAGGCTGTTTCTGCTTGACACTAAAGGGTCAACACACACAGGGTAGACTAATACGAGCAATTTGATTCAAGATGATAGCTTGAAATGAACACGCCACAAGAGTTATGTCAAACTGAATAACGTTGCCACAAAATGATGGTTTCACAAAAACCTATTTGCCCAGTGAACCCATGAGCAATGCCTCAGCTGGCCGTTCAAAGAGTCAAGGGCTTTTATGTGATACCCTTTATAGTCAACACTCTCCCGATAAACTGCCAAGGGCGAACTGCAGCCCTTTATTGCAACCTTTGGGTCAAAACACCTTTATGATCTGTCCCCCAAAAGTAGCCCATTTAGTGGAAACAGTTTCCTTGGGTTCCAAGAGTTTTCAAACCGGGGTCACGCTGGGAGGCGCCTGCACGCGGCATTTCTTCTGCCGATGCAATCTTGCTGAGCTGAGAACTTACATCAGGGGACAGGTGGTCGAAAGATCTTACTAGCCCGTATTCTGAGCTGGCTGAATCAGGTGGCCAAAGCAATCTCTTTAATTTCCCGGTAATTATGTGTCCAAGATGTTTTCTTGCTTTGCACAATACTAGTTGTGTTGACATGGGGGAAAACATGTGTCCCCGACAAACTTGGGACACTAATTGCAGACATACCAACTCAGAAGCCAACTGAGTTGGCAAATTCGAGAACAGAAACATAGAAGACAACATATCAGAATTCAACATAGTACATATCCCATTATTAAACAGAAACATGGTTGCAAAACAAAACGTAAACATTGTTTACATAGCAGAAAACAAATCAAATCAACATATCAAACATTACAGAAACATAGTAGGAAACCATATAACAATTTTAATCAGACACAGAACGGAAAGCAAAGAAAAGAAACGTAAAACGGAAACATATAGAAGAAACAAAGAACTGAAACAAAACATAATTTAGTTTTGAAGGAGAAACTTAACATAAACAAAACATTAAAAAAACATAAAACTTGAAATAGAGAGCAAACTGTGAAACATAACAGAAACATAATATAAAACAAAACAGAGAACACAAAATAGAGAAGCAAACAGCGAAACATAACAGAAACATACAGAAACATGCATTTTTACAAAAAATAGTGAGCAAATGTGGAAACATAACGGAAACATAACATAAAACATAAAATAGAGAGCACACTGATAACAGAAACATACAGAAACAAACATGCATTTTACATAAAATAGGGAGCAAACAGCGAAACATAACAGAAACATAACATAAAACAAAACATAAAACATACAATAGAGAGCAGACTGCGAAACATAAGAGAAACATACGCAAACATTTTTAACATGTTTGAGCCAACGGACTCGTTACCGTCGCACAAATCCACATCCGGTAGCCTGGGGTGGGGTGGGGTGGGGTGGGATGGGATAATAACGTCATTGGCATTTCCACATGAACCTGATGCTACGCTCTATGACCTTCAATTGCAATTCCACATGAACTTGATGCTACGCTCTATGATCTTCAATTACAATTCCACACATCCGCATCCGATAGCCTGGGGTGGGGTGGGGTGGGGTGGGATAATAACGTCATTGGCATTTCCACATGAACCTGATGCTACGCTCTATGACCTTCAATTGCAATTCCACATGAACCTGATGCTACGCTCTATGATCTTCAATTACAATTCCACACATCCGCATCCGATAGCCTGGGATGGGGTGGGGTGGGGTGGGATAATAACGTCATTGGCAATTCCACATGAACTTGATGCTACGCTCTATGATCTTCAATTGCAATTCCACATGATCTTGATGCTACGCTCTATGATCTTCACTGGCATTTCCACATGAACCTGATGCTACGCTCTATGATCTTCAATTGCAATTCCACACACCCACATCCGATAGCCTGGGGTGGGGTGGGGTGCGGGGGGATAGTAACGTCATTGGCATTTCCACATGAACCTGATGCTACGCTCTATGACCTTCAATTGCAATTCCACATGAACTTGATGCTACGCTCTATGATCTTCAATTGCAATTCCACACATCCGCATCCGATAGTCTGGGGTGGGGTGGGGTGGGGTGGGATAATAACGTCATTGGCATTTCCACATGAACCTGATGCTACGCTCTATGACCTTCAATTGCAATTCCACATGAACCTGATGCTACGCTCTATGATCTTCAATTACAATTCCACACATCCGCATCCGATAGCCTGGGATGGGGTGGGGTGGGGTGGGATAATAACGTCATTGGCAATTCCACATGAACTTGATGCTACGCTCTATGATCTTCAATTGCAATTCCACATGATCTTGATGCTACGCTCTATGATCTTCACTGGCATTTCCACATGAACCTGATGCTACGCTCTATGATCTTCAATTGCAATTCCACACATCCGCATCCGATAGCCTGGGGTGGGGTGGGGTGGGGTGGGATAATAACGTCATTGGCATTTCCACATGAACTTGATGCTACGCTCTATGATCTTCATTGGCATTTCCACATGAACTTGATGCTACGCTCTATGATCTTCATTGGCATTTCCACATGATCTTGATGCTACGCTCTATGATCTTCATTGGCATTTCCACATGATCTTGATGCTACGCTCTATGATCTTCAATTGCAATTCCACATGATCTTGATGCTACGCTCTGTGATCTTCACTGGCATTTCCACATGAACCTAATGCTACGCTCTATGATCTTCAATTGCAATTCCACACATCCGCATCCGATAGCCTGGGGTGGGGTGGGGTGGGATAATAACGTCATTGGCATTTCCACATGAACTTGATGCTACGCTCTATGATCTTCAATGTGAGAAAAAGTTGCGGTTGCCCTTTTTGAGGCTGAAGTGATGGAAGGGTTGTCATTCCCAAAGTAGACGGACCTTTTTTTTTGATAGGTTTTGAATGCAAAAACTCGCTCCACGCTGTGAGGACGCAGTAATTTTGATCATTTTCGCACGCCGGTAACGCTTCCGCCGGGATGTTTGACTACCCTGCTCTCAGCACCAAAGCTGGGATGGGCGCAAAACATGCGTGAATTCCCATGAAAATCCGTGAGAAAGGACCTCCCGTTGCGTGAAAGGACCTTCCAAAGCGTGAAAGGCCCGTGAATTGGGGGCCCAAATTTTCCAATTGTTGGGTCTTGGAGCATCATGGGAACACATGAAAATTATGCCATCGGAACATGTCAGGGCCCCACTTTAGTTGTTCAATTGCTTAGTTGATCCACTTATTCAAAAAATGTTCACACAATTTCAGCATACTCCTTCCATTTTCATGGTTCCCCTGGAACACCCGTCTAAAATGCAGGATTCACCGTTTATTGAGCTGGGTTCCTTTCCTGGGTTCAATCACTTGGCTCAAAACTTCAGGCTTAAAGTGATTTTCTCATTTAGGGTTCCGTCCACAATGCCAGTCTCCGCTGCCGCTTTCATGTAAAAGACACTTGAAATACATTTATGTTTCTGTATGCTTCTGTTATGTTTCGCAGTTTGCTCTCCGTTGTACGTTTTATTTTTTGTTTTCGTTTTGTTTTGTATTATGATGTATTATGTTTCTGTCATTTTTCACAGTTTGCTTTTTTTTTTCGTTTAAGTTTTGTTTTATGTTTTGTTTATGTTGAGTTTTTGCTTCAAAACTGAATTATGTTATATTTTAGTTCTTTGTTTCTGTTATATGTTTCCGCTTTATTTGTGTTTATTTGCTTCCCGTTATGTGTATGATTAATTAAAATTGTTTTATGTTTTGTTTTTTTCCTATGTTTCTGTTACGTTTGATATGTTGATTTGTTTCTGTTATGTTTTCTTCTATGTTTCCATTTAGTTTTGCTATCATGTTCCTGTTTAAAATGTATTCTGTTGAATTCTGATTTGTTTTCTTCTATGATTCTGTTAGGTTTCTGTTTTTATGTTTTGTGGCAACACCAAGTTTGCTCTTCCATTGGGCAAGCCCTCGAGTTTGCCAACTCAGTTGGCTTCTCAGCTGGGAAGTCTGCAATTAGTGTCCCAAGTTTGGAGGAAGCATTTTGTCCCTCATGTCAGCACAACTAGTATTACGCAAACTATTTTGGACAAATAATTAGTGGGAAATTAAAGAGGTTGCTTTGGCCACCTGATTCAGCCAGCCCGGAATACGGGCTAGTAAGATCTTTCGACCACCTGTCCCGTGATGCAAGTTCTCAGCTCAGCAAGATTGCATCGGCAGAAGAAATGCCGCGCGCCACCAGGCACCTCCCAGCGTGACCCCAGTTTGAAAACTCTTGGAACCCAAGGAAACTGTTTCCACTACATGGGCTAATTTTGGGGGACAGATCATAAAGGTGTTTTGGCCCAAAGCTCAAAATGTGTGCACGCTCTGGGGATTTAGGTGCGAAGCATTATGATTTATTTGATGTTTTATGATTTGCATAACATCATCATACATCATTTATGAATATTTATGAGGGCCTTTTGGGAAAGACCTCTGTATGAAGGCCTTTGGTGAAAGGATCTCAGTATGAAGGCCTTTGGAAGTGTAGGGTTTAGTCTAGTTACAGATACAGTTTTTAGTAATATATATATATGTATATAACATGTTGACATCAGTTTTTGCTTTAAATATAGTTACATTTACACATACACGCATATATATATATAAATATACGTAGCTATATGTTTAGTATTAGATATATACACATAGTTGTCCACACAGCTGTTTAAAATAGTATATATTTATATATTTATATAGCATATAGTTTGATCAATATTTTACATATGATGATATATAAACATATTTGGCTTCTCCATGGTTGGGTATCATTGTACAACTCAGTGTGGCCAGAAAACGCGATTCGACGATGATTGCCAGCTGGGATTATATTCTTGGACCAGCTCATGCGAAACATCATATCAAAGATTCGTAGAAAACCTACATACCGACACCTATAGGAATCCCACCAACCAATATGGCGGTTAATAACCTTGGTAAAGATTTACTAAAGGTTAATGGTTGCTGGGTAGCCCGTGGCCGGTCCCTATCAGGTTTTGATGAAAAATAGTCAAATGATGCCAAAGTGCAAAACCTTTGGATAAACAGAGAAACCTTTGAGCTTGCCATGTGAGCACAGGTCTTCTCCGCAGAGGGTAGTTACTCCGGCTACCCTCAGGGATGTTTTAAGTTCCTGAACGGCGACGTGTATTGGAACCGCCATGAAGGCAGGAGAAGGGCCGGGACATGCCTTGTTGGACAACTGTTGGTGTTGTTTTTCCCCAAGCAGGGTGTCCACAAGGGGTTCTTACGCTAAGAGTCAAGGCCGGTGCTTGATCAGGGTGCTCCATCTGGTCCCCGGCATTTTTCCTGTTCTGCGATGTCCATGTGCGTTTCGGTTGCGCAGTCTCCAGAAAGTCTGCCCCGCCACTTTGGGACGCGGCTTTTTTCCTGTAAATTCTCACGCAAAATTGCTTTTGTGACTTGTCCCAGTGCATTTCGACTGCGCAGGCTCGCACAAACAGTGCGGGGTTTGTCCAAGTGCATTTCAACTTGCGCAGGCCGGCGCAAACTGTGCGCCCCGATCTTTGGGCGCGGCATTTTTTGGGGCAACTTAGCGCAAAAAATAAAATTGCTCTTGCGGCTTGTCCAAGTGCATTTTGACTTGCGCAGAATTGCACAAATTGTGCACGATCTTGAGGTGTGGATTTTTTCCTGTAAATTCGCATAAAATGGCTCTTGTGACTTGTCCAAGTGCATTTCGACCCCGCAGGCTCGCACAAACTGTGCGTCCCGATCTTGGTCCCCGGCATTTGTCCGGCAAATTCTCGCATGAACGGGGTTGTGTGGAAATCCTCCTAAATTCCTCTCTAACCTTGCATGATCCTGCACTACAGGTCCTCAACGGAAGATCTTGTGGATATTTTTGTGAGATCCTCTCTAACAGGTCCTTGCGTAAGGAGCTTGCAGATGCCATGTCTTAGAGGTGCTTGGGATGCTCTTGTAAGATCCGCCCCAGCAGCTTTTACAATTCCTTGTGCGAAGATCTTGTTGAGATCCTATAGTGACATGCTGTCAGAGGCTTTCGCATGATCTTGTACAGGTCCCTCTCAGTGTCCTTACATGATCTGTTACAGGTCCTTGTGAGAAGATTTTGTGGAGATCCTGTTGGCATCCTCCTCAAGAGGTCCTTGCATTAAAATCTTGAAGATCCTCCGCGTTGGTGCTTGTATGACAAGTCTTCTGGGGTGCTCATAGGACGTTCTTCTATGAAGTAAGCTTCTCTTTATAGATCTACATAGAAGGTCCTGCTCCTGCAGTTGCGAGAATGTCTAACCTCATCTGTTACTGTTCCATAGCTACTGTTAGCTTGTATCTGGTACATTGGCTTCCTACCCTCCACGCTATTTGGGGTCTCTGGCCGGCGTATTTTTTTGTGGGATAACAACTCGAAATGCAGCTAGGCACCACTAGCTGTCAGCTTCAACCAATGGTTGACGCAGCTGACTACAACTAACACGCAACAAATACGTCCAGGTACCAGTGCCCACGTTTCTTGTATTTTCTGGGTCCACTCATTGTGAGTGGCTGACAGGCAACCTTCCAAGCCCCAATGCTGCTCCAATTTGCATGGGGTGATCTGAAGGTCTGAGACGGCGGGTGCGTCTTGTGGCGGGGTTGCCGCGGTTTGCTTTTTGAAGTTTTAAGCTGCTTCGCACGTCGAGCTCTTTCACTGGAGTTGCAGTTGTTTGTTTTGCAATGTTTCGCATGCAATAGAACAAACACAAATCCAATGAAAACATATTTCCTGAGGGATCTGATCATGTGTTTTGTCGCTTCGCTACCCTAGGCCCTAGCCCCGAATGTGTCTATAGCCTCGAAGCCGCCGAACGGGCCACAAGCGCAACCGTAGAGCAAAAATCACGTGTCGCACGGTCACCCTGTGCTGCGAGACCACATGCCCCTATGGAGCTATGGGTGGATTTGCCCGGTTCATATAATAATGAATTACTCATTATATAATTACATTTTACAAAGTATGCATGTACGATTGCTATATTGATATTCGTGTACATATATATATATATACGTTGTTGGATTGCATTGGTTTGAACAATACGGATGGTACTATATAGATTAATTATAGGTTATTATGGGGGTTTGGGTAACGAAACCACATTTCTTGCAATCCCCTTCTTTGAGACAGAGATGAGAAGCTGACAATGGTTACCCAATGGTAAATTATGTAATGACATGTCATATCAGTTCTCCATAACCATAGCCATTGGCCAGGGTCCTGAAAATTTGTAGCAAACTAGAAACCACCCTCACCAACTACAATCTATAATGTTCAATCCGATTTAACCTATTTTCACTCATTTGTTTGTGGGTGTTATTGCATGACATTGCCAAGTGACCGTGCAATAGGCTCTGGCCATCTATCGGTGACAAGAACCAAGACAGCATAGCATATGTTCATGAATTTGTTGGATTCCATGCCACTTAGCAACGACAGATGATCAGTTGCCCTCATCCCCTTTCAAAAAATGTGATTTCTACATTATTTGAATTGTCAATGCCATTGGCTCGCAGCCATGAAGAGGGATGACAAGAACCATGGCCTGGAATCAGTTTCCATGACCATCAACCATTGAAGGGATACTGACTGCTTCAATAGTTGGAATGGGGAAGTGCCGGAAACTGTTTTGCGCATGTTGACATTAATTAGATAGGATTTCCTGTTTTCTGGAGACTATGATCAAACAATATGAGAGCAACATCATAATACATATTGTGTGCCAACTATAATACCCAGTACAGTTCTCTTAATCTCCGTTTATTATCCACAGTAATCATTGCACCAACCACCATCACCGTTCGTTCCAACAGGACATCGTCGACGCAAGAACCATTGGAGCTGGAACTCTGGGCACCTGGGGTGGAAGAAGGTTGGGATGGGTCCCAGATTTTGACCGCGATTTCTTTTTAGCAATGGCAACACACAGTAGTATATATAGTCATAGCTGTAGTAAAATCATGACAGCCTGGAATGCCCAAAACATGTTTTGAAGAGCGTTGGATGGATTGACATGTTTGAATGTTTGCTAATTGTTCGCATGAGACAGGAAACGAGTCTGTGTCGTTTGCATGTTCCCGCGCAAAGTTATTGTTGAAATCAGCGCTTGAAAATCCCTGTGAACCAGTCACCAGAAAGAGAGCATTGTGCTTAATTACTCACCTGGGCATGTGTCAAAAATTCAAAAGCTATGGTTCGGTCATGTTCGGTCCTATTTGGGCAAGAACTTACCGGCGTGCTCACTCACACTTGGGCGTCATAGTCACGACCTGTTGAAAATTATCGCCGACAATCAGCGTAGCATTTGCGTGAAGAACGTATATGTTGAGCTATACTCCATTTGTGGAGAATGTTTTTACCCTCCAGACTGAAGGGTTTATTTGAAAATAGCGCGGTCCCAAATCCAATCATCTATCATCATGAATCATCATGTTCTACATTGGACGGTTCGGGGCGTGTGGATTTATACAAAATATCGTTCCGTACAATCAATCCACAATAGGATCATATCACTGTCCTCCACTTTGTATCGCTGTTTCTGTCCCATATCACCAAGTCACCAAAGCATCGAGACAATGTTTGGTGCGGGACAACATGCGACAGTGTCGATGACATCCAGACAAGTTCTTAATCGTGTTTTGTTCCTTGAAACAACATGTTGGGTTGACGGGGGGGGTTAGCAGTTAGCCCGAGTTCAGCTGTGTTGAATTCTGGCAAAGTATTCTCCACTTCATCATACTTCATGTTCTCAGGTCGTCCATGTTAGAATACTGCGTTTTCGCCTAGGCGGCGTATCTTTTTTTGTGGCATCAATTCATTTGCCTTCTTGTTCATTGCGAAATATGATTTCCTTTGTTCATAGACACGTGTATGAACTTTTCGATCATTTTTTTGAAAATCTGAACGGATTTTTGAACGCTTACAGTAGATCGTCGCGTTTTTTCGTCCTGAATTTCATTCCTTTTAGCACACTCATGTCTACAGTGTGTGGTATTTTTTCAAATTTTTCCACGTGTCATCTGTCTAACCAGGAACACTCATGTCTAAAGTGCGTACCATCAACAACGAGAGCAAGTCACATGGAACGTTAACATCCCCCCCACCCCACCCCAACCCCTGCGTGGCGTAGCATCAACAACGTGAGCAAGTCACATGGAACGTTAACATCCCCCTCACCCCAACCCCTGCGTGGCGTAGCATCAACAACGAGCGCAAGTCACATGGAACGTTAGCATCCCCCCCACCCAACCCTGCGTGGCGTAGCATCAACAACGAGAGCAAGTCACATGGAAGGTTAACACCCCCCCACCCCCCCAACCCCTGCGTGGCGTAGCATCAACAACGTGAGCAAGTCACATGGAACGTTAACATCCCCCCCCACCCCAACCCCTGCGTGGCGTAGCATCAACAACGAGAGCAAGTCACATGGAACGTTAACATCCCGCCCCCCACCCCAACCCGCCAGCCCCCAACAGTCATCTGGCCTCTCTCATCCTGACGGGGAAGATAGCCCAGTGCAGCAAGGTCAGGAATTTCTGGGCTAAACCCCCCGTCTACCCAACATGTTGTTTGATGGGAAATACATGGAAATACTGAAGTTTTGTTGGTTCCGTCTTGAGTTTTGATGGGATGTTCGTTGGCTTTGTTTATAAGAATGCCACCTGGGCCCGGTCTCATTGAATCCTTTGGGGGATGAGAAGCCAATACCTCCTAACCAACCATTGTGCAGGTCATCCGGTACAAGAAGCCAGCTAAAAAGTTGCACTTCTGATTCAGAAGTGGCACTTTTTGGCTGGCTTTTTCTGAGCATCGGAGATCGTGGGAGTTTTGTGTAGGACCTATAGGCGTTACAAAGACTGACATAATCAGCGTAGTTTTTTTGTGTTATGTCTCAAAGGATTTCAAAATCATGGCATGCTGCAACATGCGGATGACTTTGTGTGTGTGTGTTTGAGTGAATGTGGGTCAAAACAATCTTAACACCGATAGATCCACAGATCATCAAGATGCAGAACTTTACACATGAGGACCACATGGTGCATGGTGCACATGTTGATGCATTTTTTGGAGTGCGCAGTGGTGACTTTTGACCCACATTCCACCTGACATACTGTAATCAGACCAGGTTTGCTATATATCCTTCAATCTTTATGGTCCTTGGGGCCCGATTTTTGAGACATATCGCAGCCCCGTCGAAATCGCAAGACCTAAGGCTTAGACTCGTTGACGTCCCTGCTATCAACAGGGATGCCAGTGGGTCTAAACTGCGTCTTTCGATTTCGACCGTGATGTGAAGTTTGGCGCATCGCTTTAATTTTTCGGCTTGGTTCTGTCAACATGATGGGGCGCGCCAACGAAAGAGGCAGGAGCATCAGCGTGGAAAAAAATACTCTGCGCGTGAAGTCGCACGCTGGCATTTTTAAAATTGCATTTTTGGGGTCACCACATATCACCACCATTTTCGATCGAAAAACATGGCTGGCCCACTAAATTATGAAACATCAATGGTAAGCTCGCTTTTTGCGATGGGGGAATACCAGAGGGCATCCACCCAGCCCGAAAGAGCACAACCAGAATTGCAATTTACCGGGAAACATTATAATTATAATCACAATCCGTAGAAACTGGGGTCGCTCCATTTGCAGACAAACCCACATGCCGCCGTTGGTTATGTTTCAAAGTTGTTTTCTGTCACTGGCATTCAATTCTCTTTGACTTACATTGGTGTATGACGGTTCATGTCAGCGTCAATATCCGGCTGATTGTTGTGTATACTGTCTACTTATTTTTTACCTATGGTGATTTGATATACTCTGGTTGGTGGTTTGGAACATTTTTGATTTTCCATAATATATGGGACAATCCTTCCCATTGACTAATATTTTTCAGATGGATTGAAACCATCAACCAGTACTAGTGACAACTACGATTTTGTGCGGAAAATAACCATGATTTCTCAAGCTGCTCTTGGTAGGTGATCCGAGATGCAAGGAGACTCTGGGATGGCCTTTTCCCAGTGGATTAGCAACAAATACTTGAATACACCCGCAGTTATTCGCAACGAACAAACTACTACTAACTACAAACTATACTATATATAGTGCATTTTGTTTAGAATCTGCAAAAACTACCTTTGTTTAACCCAATGTGGTGGCTATTGCGCATAATACAATTCTTAGTTGTAAGTTACATTCTCATTCTATCTCCGATACAAATTGCTGATCAGCTGCATCAGCTGGTCAAATCACAATTTATCCCATGGTTGGTTCTTTGGCTCCCCATATTGATCACATTTTCCCAATAAATCACCATTTTTCGCGATGACATCCCAATCTGGATTCAATGAACCATGATACATCCACATGTTCGATATACATCACCATTTCAAATCTTTCTTTGCCCCATGGTTGATTTGTTTAATGCCTATGTGAAGATTTCAATCCTACGATGCTTGCCCTCCCACAGCGCGTTCGTGTTGTATGCGCCGAAAATCAACAGGAGCTCAAACGCATCCACCGCATGCCGCCCGCGGAACAGAAGGCGTCTAATCAAAATTAAAGAA